GTCAGTGTGACATCTTAATTTCTGGTGATATATACAAGCCGGTGGCCTGTTTCCTTGATGTCACTGAGAGTGGTCCTTCTTTACTTCAACCAGTTCCTTGAGGGCTTCATTTTCCGTGCCTTCCGCCACTGATCTATTTGCTAGATCGGTGGTCGTATTCCAAACGATGACAAAGCCAAACCTAGAATGAATATTTCGCGTGCAAAACAAAAGGTGACTGGAGAATCCATTTTTCTGAAACGTAATTTCCTGAATCTCTGGCCACAGCGCTGCTCAAATGGACTAACCGAGAAATTCTTAAGACCAGGGCAGCACTGTTCATTGTGGTCAAGCCTACATTCTCTAAGGGCCGAGAAAACGTTGGTGATCCCTCTGCAATACGGAGATGTCACAGTTTAAAGCCTACATTCTCTAAGGGCCGAGAAAACGTTGGTGATCCCTCTTTGCAATACGGAGATGCTTCTCACAGTTTAACGGGTGGAAATCACGCAAAACCATCCAAATGAATTGAAGCTTTAATATACGGCATTCGAATTCCATACACATGACATATTATCGAGGCAGCGATCTAGTGCCAACCCTTGACCTGGCACAGGGGTATGAAAGAAATCATGAAACGTTTAGGTGCTGTCGGTACTGCTCGCCTTCCAGGATGGGGACCGCCTGGTGCGCCTGGTTCGAGACGCTGGGGTGGGGTGGGGATCTTGTTGTCAGCTTGTATCCAGATTGCCTGAATGAGTGTTTGGAGATGTAGGCACCTGATAATGATTGTAGTAAGCTTGCACTAAGTCCCTTTCCCGTCCAACTTTATTCTTTTTTATTAACAATAAGGCTTTCAAAGAAATCTTGGTTCTACGGCAGCGACGCATCGGTGTCGAAAACTGATGTCATGCTATCGATCATGATGCCATTTATTATCAGTAAGCTTGTATATATTGGCCTGATGATTCACGTGTTTGGTAGTAAAAGACTGTTCACCCCAAATTTTGCTACCTATTCTCAGTCCAATAGTGTTTCGGACCAGCAATCAGACAGGTGCAAGCATAATTGGAAGAGCCAAACTGCTGAAAATAGGTCCTCGTATTTCGAGAAATACACTCATTTGCAAATCGGTTTGGTTTTCACGAAGGGCTCAACTGAATCTCTCGTTTATGACATTCTACAACCGAACGTGCTGCATACAGGCCGCCTCATGATTCAGTTGGCGCGATATTCGAGATATCGCAGTATATTTTCATAAAGGAAGCTACTCGTGGACTGCACCTACCTGATGAGCCCCAAGAAGGACGAAACCGGTCATGGGCTGTCGAAGAGTTTTCAGCAACTTTGTGAGTGGTTCCCTTCAAGAAAAATGTTCCTCAAATTGTTCACAAAAACCTCAAGGTCAATTCAGTATGTGGCCAATTCAGTTCTTCGTAATAATCGAACGCGAGCACTCCTAATTTGTGTGCTCTTATTTTAGAAACGCTGTACCCAGCCCACACACTTCTACACAGTTATTCCTTTCCGAACTCAGGGTTCTACTTCAGTGCTGGCTGTTTGTTCTTACAGGTCATGCTGAGCACTTCATGAACACAGAACGGAGCATGTAGTATTTACAAGGTTGAAACAATACATAACTAGGTGACCTACACAAATAAGACTGGCGTTGCTGTGCATAAAACTATGAATTGATTTATCATGATGTTTACTAGTTAGCTAATTGTTGCACTTTTCTCCGGTCTATTTTTTTTTATTTTCCTAGCCGCCTTGGGGTGATCTATCTCGTGGTCGATACTATGCTACTTCTCATGTAAAATATGCACCTGAACTGGTTCTGGTTCCTTGAATCAGTCATGGAATTTTTATTTCAATGATCCCGAAAACGTTCGTAAAAGTGGCTGATTTTATCTGTAAATTATAATCTCTATGTCGTTGAATAAGTCAATAACTTAGGCTGATTCTTTCAGAGGAATTTACGCTTCTTTAAACACGAAATCATGGAACACACAAGAGAGCCAGACCACAACGCGAAAGGCACATTGGGCGAGACAAACCAAGCTACAAGTCCACTCTTTCTGTTTATCTAGTTATTTGTGAGACGCACTGTAGAGATCCAAAGACTGCGGCAGCTTTACAGGTTTAGTGGACCACATCGATCTGGCTGTGTTTAGACCCTCGGTATACTTGAGCATAAGTTTGTACAAGCCTTTCCTCCGAGTATTTCTCACGCCTTATAGGCTGAACTCGTGCGATTGACCAAACAGGAGAAATGAATCAAATCGTGACAAATTCATCTTCCCGTTTGTGAAAACAAAGGAGTTACGTATTGTGGGAGATGACGAACAAGCCTTCCATTTCGGTGAGAGCCGACAAGAGTAGCTGTTGGCCACTACCATTGCTTCCCATAACGATGTGGACATCATACTTCATTCTGGCCCCTACGCGATATTCCCCGTTTGTGCGTAGTTTTAAGCCTCATAAGATTGATCGGAGCAATGAACAACGTTTGCGAAGCCTGGTCAGATGGGAGCACCTCAAACCGGATAAAGCTACGCGCGCGATTCTCCGATAGCTAATCCCAGCTTGCACTAGCATTGACGATAAAATTCGATGCGAACTTTCTATGAAAGTCGCCGATTGATTTTGTTGGTATCCATACCCGCTAAATAGATGAAAGGAAGCTATGCCTGGTGGTTTGTGAAACTCAGCAATCGGAAGACTTGCATGATGTCAAAAAGCTAGCAAAAAACTCCTAGAAAACTGTAAACCAGCAACAAGTTAACTAGACTGATGAGAAAGATCAATGGACACAAGTTGGACTGGGGGCAGTAATGCTGCCGGCTACTCATTAGCATGATCTGTCATATCTTTAGGACTGTACTACTGTCATTTCTGTCAAGCAAAGTCCGGTCCTTTGAAAGGAATTTTTGTCAAGGTTTTACGAAAAACTATTGTTTATCAGCCATGCATTACCCTGTTTGGTGAAGAAAAACCATCCATCATTCAAGGAATCGGAAATAAAATCCTTGTTTCGGGGTACTTTGGGACAAACCGAATCGGAATTGCTCACAACACGCCGATCGAGTGAGCAAATTGAGTGTTGACTTGTTCAAAGATCAAAAACTCTTTCTGGACCGATTTTAACCAGGTTTGAGAACAATATTTGGGAATGGAAAAGTATTTTGAAAGAACAAACCGTTTTTTGACGGCGTGGCGTTTTATAAAGTATCATGGGTGGAATTTACGCCAATAATATCGTGACTATTTTTACTCACGATATCCTATTGTTTAGCCGAGCCACAAGCCTTTGAAGGATTCCGCATCATGCAGCCGCTTACTCTCCAGAACGAGCACTTGGTTGGATGACGCATGTTTGATTTGTCTTTCCATCCCCATTAATTCCAGATGGACGTTCCTCTCGGCTTGTACGTGTCGTGTTCCATAATTGGATAGCCGTTTATCTTTCAGCGCGTGACATGCAGATGTGTAGGATAGTTCTTACTATCATCCCCTACACCTTCAGAGTCTACCCCCTCCTCTAAGCACACAAACAACGGAAGGACAAATGTTTTTTTGGCAAATGGTTTCGGGAACCAACAGGTGTCATATTCATGTGAATCACGTCACTTTCCATATCCACATGAAGTGTTAGCCCATGACTTGAACACGTGCTTATTGGGAATTTCAGCGAATGTGTTCGGTTCGTTTTTAAAAACATCACGGACTTCATTTCGACTAGGTTTGCCGATCAGTGGGCAGCTCACTTGAAGCAGAAATTTCCAGCTTGTTTTGCGCGTCCATATCCTGATGAGGAATAGTTTGAAAGGTTAATGTTTGTAGACATGAATTGGCTTCACTACAAATGATTCAGGCAAAACTGCTTGAAAAAAGAGATCTGTGGTAGATTTGTGGACTCGCTTTGTAGCATTTGCTTGGACTTGAGAAACTCTCAATGAATATCCAGGAAAGTTCAGGAAGACGCTTTCAAGAGAAGATGGGTATTCAATTTTTTTAATTAAGATGCATATGAGAGTTTTGCTTCCCTGTCCAATAGTATGCAACTGGTCGGTTGGCATTTTATAATAAGTAACTCCGCAGCGAAGGCCTTCTTCCTTTCAAAAGGCTTGGATAGACAGATGTATATGGAATTCAATCCACTGCATGGCTAGGCTACGAGTTAAAGTCACCAGACCAGTAGAATACATGCGGCCTTTTATTTAGACGCTTCGGGCTCCATCCTCTCTTGAGCGTATTGTGACAGGCTACTGGTTTGTGAAGACGTACCAGATGCTTTTCCCATGTGAAGCATGCCAACTGGATGCTCTCAGCGAGTACAAACATAAAGCCTCATTCTCATTTGAGAGGTGTAGGTTAGAGGCAAACGTTAGCTGACGCGTAATAAAACTCATGTCTATGGGTAGTAGACAGTTCACTCTACTGTGGAATGAGGGGGCACCTTGGCAGTTAGTCTGCGGCGCTTGGCATTTGGATTACACACGTTTCATCCTCAATGGGATTGACATCGTCTGTGTGGGATTGAGTGGGATCCACTCAACCAACAACCAAACATCGCATCCAAGTTGAGGTATTCTGTAACACAATCAAGACTAGGCACACCACCAAAGCCGTAAGGCATTTAAAAGTTTTGCCACTCAACTTCCTATATTGGGTTACTGGGCATCAAAGAGCTAAAAAACATGGTAATTTTGGAGCTGGCTGATAGAAAAACATGAAAGTTGTGAGTTATACTTCCCTTCTTTCTGTCATTAGGGAATGTTTCTGGGTCTTTCCTGTTCAGTTATTCCAAACTCTCTGCATGAAACCTTCGTTTAAAAAGTCCTGTTTATTGTTTTTGCGAACATCCGGGCAAAGATCGGAGGAAATCAGTTTTTTCAAATCAAGTCTTCCTAGTCTGATTCCCTTAGACATAGCCTTCAGTAATCACGCAAGGAACAAGCTACTACAATGAAGTAAAATGGACAGGAGTGAAGCCAATGTACAGATGCTTACTATCTTACTTTGATTAAACGACCCTGATTTGCTCCTTTGATCAGAGGAGCTTGGCCGATTTCTAGAAGTTTCAAACCAGTCACTAGACAGTTATAGTGCTCGCTAATCTGTAAATGTATAAAGCTCATATCAGGTGTTAAGCCTATGCTAAATGGAGCGACTTTTCTGGTAGCTTCTTCTTCATATCAATAAAATCAAGGCCACGTATTCATAAGGAAAATATCGACCAGTAAGACGTAGGGCATATGGTTGAAAACACAGAAGAGACTAAAAGTAATGAAATAAAGTACCAAATACTGAGGGAAGTTATTCATGCTTTCAGTTTGGTTGTTGTTCTGTTCGCCGAGCTTGGCAGCTGGATTGCAAACATTCTATCATCAATCAAGGTAACATCGTCAGTGCGGGGTTGAGAGGAGCTCACCTAATCCAACTACCAAGCTCGATGAACAGAACAAAAACCAAGCAGATCACCCTAGCTACCAATATTCCATAGCACTTCCAATATATATTTTTTCTCAACGAGAAATTGGCGTGAGAGACCTTGTGTAACATAACACAAACAACTTGTTCATCGACCGATATTCGATATTCCTTATTGGTATTCAAAAATCCCTCTTGTAACACTTCAATTTTCACCACCCAAGTAGGCGCTGCTTCAAAGTGCAAAACAGCTTGAATGCACTAGGATGTTTTTTTTACCATAAAGTGTGTCAACGTACTCCGATTGTTAGCATGATTATGTTCCATCACTTAAATTTGTAAAAAAACCTTAGCCTAGAACTGGGACACAGCACTTTACAGCCTCAATTCTTCAGCTTTTATTAAATCAGAGTTACCTAGTTTAGGTTAACTAAAAGTGTCACTATGGCGAATGCCAAACTTGTATTCAACACAAAACTTACAGCTCAGAATACGCTAACCATTCTGGACAAATATGGGTAAGCTGCTCCTGTACGTGTCAATTGAATTTTTATTTTCATATCAGTCAAAAGTAAGTCAATTAAATCACCCAGCAACACTTTCTATTGTTTCCAAAGAAGTCATGGTTTTTGGACAGAGTGTAATTAATTTCCGGCTGCTTTTCGATTAAAGATGCAATACCACTTTCACTGGTTGTACCACCAAAGCACCCCTAAACAGGTGTATCTCCATGAAGAAGCATTCAGGATTACTGGCGGTTCACTGTGAAAATGAGTACTTACGCAGGTGAGAAAATGAGTTTGTCGTGCATCTTTTAGATTTCTTTAGAGAATTGTACAAAACGTTGGGATGTACTACACTACTCATAAAATTGCTGAGAATTCTTCGACAGCCCACGATCGGTTTCGCCCTTCTTGAGGCTCGTCAGGTAGGCGCAGTTCCCGAGTCCCCGTCAAACTTATGTTCTACTCCAAACTAAATTTGTAAACAAATTTGGAATCCATCTGATGTTTCCAGGCAACTCAATGTGCTGCACTAGGATGCCTCATTTTTCAGCTGGTACTATATTCGTGATTTCACGATACATGTATAGACGTAATACACTACTAATAATGCTTGACTTGCGCTTGACGGTCCACTACTTAGCTTTGCTTAAATATGGCCTTCTGTAGACTAGATACATTTAGAGTTGTTTTTCTTAAGAGACCATGAAGTCTACTATGAATACTACTTCCTGGTTCGGATGTAGAGCAGAGCGCAAAAGTGGTCCATTCGGGTAGAGAGGTTCAAGTTACGGATACGTGTGATATAAAACGTAGTCCTTGATCAGTGAATTTTCATAATTCACTCTAAGACAAAAAATAGGTACCGAAACATAGGAAAAGCGATGTTAAATCTAAACCATTTTGGGGTCGTCGGTGTATGACGATGTACGTTAGGTGAGGATCAACCCATGAATCAAACTTTCTCATCACTCCAGTAGTTTTTGTCTTGATTGCGAGGAACATGGATAAAATCATCATCGGCCTGACGGCATTCCAATTCTCCTGCCGTCCTATATCCGAATTACATGAAACGAGAAAAAATGCGCCAAACTGTTAGTTCGAAGAGGGCCAAGTTCTAGCGATGCAGTGGAATGCTATTTTCTTGTTCAAATTATCGTTTTGGCTCCATCTTACAAATCGGTTTCCTATGGACAATTGAAGCTCTTGAACTGAGGCGTCGAAAACAATTGACTTCGGTGGTCTTTGTATTAGTTTACTAGCTGAAGTCATCCTCGCATATTCTTCAGGTTAAACCATGTCGCAACCTGATTATTGCCGTTTATTCCAATTTTTTGCGACCAGCCACTGTTCTATATTCCACTTATGATACACTACTCATTCCGCCGACAGAACATTTTCGGTCACTGCATTCAGTCGTATTTGTTCAATTATTGTTTTCCAGGAACTAGTTCGCTTGGATCTGCTTCATCTGATATAAGCTGCCCCCAAAATGCCATCAACTGAAGCAATATGCTACTGTCTGTTTTCCTTACCACGTCGAATACGGTTCATTTATGTAGTAGTGTCTATTCCGCATTTCTTTTGATACGCGTTAAGTCACGTGTACGTTTATCAATTGGGATGGTGTCAGCTGTACCTCAGCTCAGCAGGTCAGCAAGAGATGCGAGTAGTAGTCAAGCTCCACGTTCATGTTTTTTTCTAAATCCTGATTGCTTAAATTCCAGCAAACAATGTGACATTTACGCAACTGTTTTATCAAGGCTTTTTATCAGTTTACTGTGAGATATCCCCAAGTTTCTAGTCTAAAATAGCGCCCTCCAAATGAGGCCGGTAGTTAAAACGTGAGTGCTGATGTTCGATTATTGCCTTGGGCATCTTCGGTCAATTGGTATGACAATATAAACTGTCGTTTTTTGCAGACAATCCAATCATCCGTTACTGCATTTTGATTCGAGACTTCATCGAAACGTTTGTTGCTTTGGACCCGTGGACCCTATAGCTTGAGTGTGCGTAAACACGCCATCAATGCCTCAGCTTCATTACTGCTAATGGCCTAATGCTGTCATTAAAGGTACACCCGTTTGACAGTGATCTTTCTAGTGTATGTAATGAGAATTATGTTAGATAATTTTAGCCTCTTGAGCGCACTTGCCAACCAAACTTGTCTTTTAATGGATACCCGCAAAACACTCGGGATTTCATTGAGTTCAATAAAACTGTTGACCAAAGATTGAAAAGTGACCCAATTTGTCGTGCACACACAGAAAATTATTAATTAAGAATAATAGCGAGCAATAATTGTTCTACAAGAGATTCTGTCAAAAAATGCGTTAAAAAACTACCTTGAAGACTATGCTATGTTTTATAGCCTTTTCTTTATCGAATTCAGCCTGGGCGGATGCTGCCTTTGTGCATTCGAGAGCCGAACAATTTCTGTGTCATCCTCAGTCTGACCTTTAATAATTGATATCCATCCACGAAGCCCAAGCATCGTTAGATATTTCGTCTACAGAGGTTTTTCAAAACCGAAATCTGTGCTAAACACATATCTGGCATGTCCCTGGTGTGGGATGGAACACCAAATCACACCTGAACGACAGCGCTATCGCGTACGTTTCAGACGAGTGGTTCACCTTGAAGGATAGCAGTAGACGATAGCATATGGTGTTCTCAGCATTAATTTGTTGTGCTTAACACGCTTTCCTGCTCGAGAAAAGCATGGCATCTAAGGAGGAGGTCATGTTGCGCATAGAAAGCATTGAGAAAAGATGTTTGCAAAACGTCAGCTGCAAGAATCTAGCCACAAAGTGTCCCTATTCCAGTATAATGTCTGTTGAATCTATTTTCTGTGCAGAGTTACTGGCCCATGGAGTCCTTGAGTACCTGCCACAAGGAAAGTGGCACATTTCAGTTTGAATATCTTAGGTTCTGATTCACTGGCTCTGTACTGACAGATCGTTCTACTTGTTACCGAATGCCCACATTGGATTTGGTAATAGGCGTTGGAGCATTCGGGTATTTCAGGTAGGAATTCGCCTGTGATTTGTCAACCTGTCATATATAGGTGGAAGCTTCTCCGTATGCGAATCCATTACTATTCACACCAGTTTTTATCGAATCAACATTTGACACTGCCCAAACGTGCTTTTGTTCACATATTCACCTTTCTGGCATGCTTCACTTCTCTGATAAATGAATGCCAAATGAACACTACTTGGAGTAACAGCGAAATGACCACAACAACGCTGAGCTTCCTTTTTAATGGTGCGTAAACGTAAGTAGGAACCAAGTCATATTCATTGCAAGAGAAGTATAAATGCAAGCTTCTGTGACAGAGATCCGATAAATCAAGTTTGTTATGGGCAACCACAGGTTGCTTTGTTTTCTGATTTTGTGGTGGTGACCTATGCCTTTTAGAATCAAGTATTTTAGAATCAAGCATCTCGACTTTGCAACATCACTGACGGCAAAACGTTTTGATATCACAAAGTCATTTCTCGCCAATCGGTTCAAACTTATCGTTTTCGCGGCACCCATTCTTCGAAGGAAAGCAGATCTGGTCACCAAACGTTAGTTGTGTTGATCAGCATATGCGGTGACTATCATCCACGAAACATCCCATTGGATTGAGCTCTGGAGTAAGTCATATCTCCAGACGTTTACCGGTCACCAAACGTTAGTTGTGTTGATCAGCTTATGCGGTGACTATCATCCACGCATGAGTTTACGAAACATCCCAGTGGATTGAGCTCTGGAGTAAGTCACATCTCCAGACGTTTACTAACATATATTTTATCCAGTGATTTTTTATTTCCACTCCACTGAAAGTGGGAGCTGAGTATCGGAAAATGACGATAAGCTGCGTTGATATCAATTCCACACAGCTAAGATTGATTTCCGACTGAATGGACCGTTCAACACAGTTTCTTATTCGATAAATCCCAATCCAGCATTCGTTCGTTATGTCTGAAAAACAGATCTGTCTTAAAATCTGCTACGCGTGATAAGTTGTCGAGTTTCGGTGTATTTTCGTATCAATAATCACGTGATGCTGACCAAGTGATTTGCCTTGCTAGGGCAGAATTTTTCGAATGACGGGTCATCGAAGTTGAGCGCATTATTACTGACTTTGGAAGCACTGGCAAAACACGCAACCACTGGATTACTTATCTCCGTATTCT